GAGGGGCAGGGGCAGGCAGGGACGGGCAGGTGCTGGAACGGGGTGAAATCAGCCCAATTCGGCACCCGACCTTCCCGTTTTTCTTACCGATGCCGTGAAATATCCTGGCGACGGCTCTGCCGGAAAATTTCTCATCCTGGCGGACGGCGAGGAAATGGCGGATGTCGGCGCGGATTTGGCTCTCCCGCAGCTGCGAAGGAAAGGACGCGGCGGTGGGGAAGGCGCCGTCCCTCCTCTTCCTCACCCCAAACCCATCCCCGGGGTCTCATCTGCGCCGGAGTTGCCGCGTACGGGAAACGCCGGCCGAAGCAGCTCCCAGGAAAACTGGATTTGCTCACGTTAGCGTCGCCGAGATCTTCCTCTTCCTCCTCTTCCTCGCAGCCCCGCTCAGCCGGCTCCGTCTCGAAGTAGTCGCTGAGCAGAGCCTTCAGCCGGGCGCTCCTCTCCTCTTCCTCATCGGCAGGGTGAGGGTCGCAGGTCTGGAAGGCCACGCTGCGCCCCAGTGTCAACCTCCTCCCTTCCCAGTACCAAAACTGGTGCCCAACTGGGAGGGAAGGCAACAGGGGGCGGTTCGCGGGGGTTGGGTGGTCTCCTCCAGCCACGCTCACCTCTGGAAGGCCCGGAAGCAGGCGCGGAGGTGGCCGAGAGCCGTCTTCTCCCTGGCCACCACCCTTCGGTGGAGGAAATCGCAGACGGCATCCAGCTCCTGGTCGCTGAGGTCACCGTAGGCGCGTAGGTGGAAGGAGAGGCCGCCAAATTCCACCAGGACCCCGCTTTTCCCCGCACCGCCGCAGTCTGAAGGCACCAAGAACCGGTGGAGCCGGCGCTCACCGAAATCCAGCACCCACCGAGACCCATCCACCCGGCGGCGGAGGCGCGGGGAGGAATTTCCCCGGCAGGAGGAACGCCGGTACCTTGCCGCAGGCGCGGATCCCACTGGAGCTGGCGCAGGGCGCGTTTCACCAACGGCACTTCCCAACCCATGGAATTGCTCAGGGAGACCACGTCGAATTCCAGGGAGCCGGCGCGGTCGCGGTCCCTCCCCGCCAGGTGCTCCCGCGCCAGGACGGCGGCGACGGGGGGAGAACTGAGGGTGGGAGACCCCAAAACCCCATTGCCACCGCGGCTCAGAGCCCACTTTTTTCACCTCCGACGGACCCCAGGATCGCGGTGCAGCTCCCACCCGGCGGAGATGACACCACGAGGGCTTTTCCCAGCACGGGGAACGCCGCGGCGTTCGCACGGGGGGGGAATTCTAACCTCCGCGCCGCAGCCTGGAGCTGCCGGGGTCCCCCGTAGCAGAGGAGGCGGCAGGAGGAGTAGGTGGGAGGCAGCAGCTCCAGCCAGCGCTGCGGGTGCAGCTCCAGGTAGCACAGGAGGGTCTCGATTCCTGCGAGGAGAGCGGGGAGCTGCGGAGGGATCGCCATTCCCTTCGGGATCTCCGCCGGCGTCGCTCCGGGCCGATTTTTCCCTCACCTTCCTCTCGTACATCCAGGGATTCCACGGTTTCTTGGATGGGAATGGCTCGTTCGTGTTTGTAGCACACCCGCCGCCCGCTCTGCTTCCTCACGCCGCCCTCCTCCTCTTCCTCCTCCGAGAACTCGGCCGTTTCTGCGTCCTCCACCTCTCCGGCCTGCGAGGGAGGCGGCGGGCAGCAGTGCGGCGGCACCGGTTCGAGAACGGGCACGCTCCTGCCTTCCTTTTCCAGCCCAACCGCTCTCCTGCCCCGATCCTACGCCTCGCCTCCCCTCGACTGATTTAACCCCCCCCTGCTGCGGCCACCCAACAATTAAAGCGTTTCAACCGCGTCGGCTCGTTACTTAACGAGTTAAAAAGCCGGGAAGGCCACGGGAGCGGAGCCCCGAGCCCCTTTTCCTCACCCCGACGACGTCCTGGTGTTGCCGGTGCAGCTCCAAGCATTTACAGGGAGAGAAAATTTTCTGCACCAGCTTCTTGACGGTAAAAAAATCCACCGTGTCGCCGTAAATGTGGCGCCGCAGCTCGGGGAGATCCCCGCCCTGGGGAGACAGCGGTGAAACTTGGGGGGAACCCCCCCCAAAACGTAGGGGAAATCCCTCCCCGTCCTGCCGGCGGGATTTACCTCCGGATCCAAGAAGAGATGGCAGTGAGCCGGCTCGCCGTCGCGCCCTGCCCGGCCGATCTCCTGCACGTAACTCTCGAAATTTTTGGGCATGTTGTAATGTACGACGCCGCGGACGTCCGATTTATCCAGCCCCATGCCGAAAGCCACCGTGGCCACCACCACGCGGAGTTGGCCGCTCATAAAGCTGCTCTGGACGCGGCGGCGTTCGGCGGCGGATAGGCCGGCGTGGTAAGCGTCCAGCAGAAAAAGGGGTTTTAACGGCGGCAAAAGCACGATTTGGGGCGGCAAAAGCACGATTTGGGGCGGCAAAAGCACGATTTGGGGCGGCAAAAGCGTAGCTGCTCATTAAATCAGGGAGGGAAAGTTTGGCAGCAGGACAGGAGGAGCCGGCCCGGCTTTGGCAAACAAAGTGGGCGAGGATCCCTGTGGCCAAACGCTTCCGGAGCTTGGCCGTGGATTTTGAGGGATAATAAAAGACTCCAAGTTGCAGCTACGAGGTTCCGGGAAGAAGAAAAAAACCCGGCGGAGGCGCACAACGACGGCGCTAAACCCACCGCCGAGCATCCGTCGTTATGGGCTGGCGCTAGAAAAGTCAAAGCCTGGTTTTAAGGCTCCGGCGCGGGAAGATAAACGCTTTGCGCCCAATCGCGCCAGATTTCGGGAACCGGGAACCTCCGGCAAGAGCAGCTCATTCCCTAGGGATTCTCCGTTCCGGTGTGGATTCACCGGAGAGGATGTTTTGGGCTCGTGCTCCTTTCGGAGAGCGAGGCCGTGCCGCCTACCCTTCGTTTTCTTCCTTTCGGCCGTGTGGCACTCCGGCTCCCCGGCTCCGGCAGGCTCCCGGAGCGGCGTTCCTTGGAGGCAGGTCCGGATGAGCGCCGCGACGCGAGCCGTCTCCTCCCGCCGCGTGCAGTAGACGATGATGGAGTCCAGGCACCCGAAACGCTCGCCCCGCAGCAGGGAGATGAGCGCCTGCGGGCACAAAAAAAGGGGGGGGGGAAGTCCCCCAAACCGGTTTGGGATCTCCCCTCCTATGAAATCCAGCGCCGCAGCAACGAATCCGATTCCTTCGGATCTGTCCTTGCTCCCTACCTGATCCCTGTCCCTGTCCATCGAGACGGAGAGGCGCAGGTTTGGGGGGACGGCGGCGGAGCGCACCGTTATCCCTTCCTCCGGCGGGATGCCGAGGTGTTGGGCTACGTCCCGCGCCGTGGCCAGGGTGGCGGTCGCCGTCAGCCCCAGGAAGCAGCGCACGCCCAGGCGATCCCGGAGAACCTGCCGAAAAGGAGGAAAAACAAGCAAAAAAAAAAGAAAAGTGGGAATCTGATATCCCTCCTCGCTCCGATGGGTTCCTTCCCCTCGGGATGGGCTCGTACCTGGCAGAGGCGCAGGTAGCAGGGACGGAAATTGTGGGACCACTCGGAGACGCAGTGAGCTTCGTCGATGCAGGCGAAGGCGACGGGCGGCAGGCGATCGGCGGAGGGCAGGCAGCCGGATCCCGATCCGCTTCCGCCGACCAGGGCTTCGGGAGAGAGCAGCAACACCTGCGCTTCGCCCTGTCTCACCTACACCGGGAATACCGGATCAGGGAGGAGAGGGACACGAGGGGTGCTTGATCTGCTCTCCTGAGGGAACTGGGATCTGGTGCCGCGGATCCGGGATCACGGGCAGCGCTGGGAACACCCTCGCGTGCGTGGTTCTCCCCGGAGAGTTCGGATCCCCTCACCTTTTCCATCACCGCTTCCCGTTGGATTTTGGTCATGTTGGAGTGGATGCAGACGGCTTTCAGGCACGGCGGCAGCCCTGAGACCTGGAAGCGAAGCCCGTCCCCTGGCCGCGCCGGCCGCCGGTGGCTCGGGGGGAACCCCCCTTGGCTAGCCACCTCCCCGTGAGCCTTTAACCGCGGCAACACGCATCCGGCGGCATCCTCGCCGGGATTGGGGTGGGAAAAGCGGGATGTCGGAGCGATACCTGGTCATCCATCAGGGACACCAGCGGGGAAACAACCAGGGTGACGCACTTGGAACGCTTGCGGTAGAGGTAAGCGGGGAGCTGGTAGCAGAGGGACTTCCCCATCCCTGTGGATAACACCACCAGCGTGGAGAGGCCTGGAAAAAACGAGGGGTCGGGGACTTCGTTTGGGGACACCGCGGCCACCTCGCGCGGGAGGGGACAACGGGGAAGCGCAAACCCCCACGGAGGAAGGGAGAGCGTGGGGGAGACGAACCCACCTGAGAGGATCCTCATGACGGCCATCTCCTGGCCCGGGCGGAAGGAATCATAGCCCAGCGTCTTCAGAGCCGCAAACACCTCCTCCGGCGTCGCTGCGGGGGGACGGAGCTGCCGTCAGGAGGGGGACAAGAGGGGACAAAGCCACCCGGTCGCGCTCGGAGCCCCGTACCTCGCACCTTCCCATCCGGCCCCGGTTCGTAGAGGGGCTCCACAGGCGCGGGGGGCTCGTACGCCGGCCTCGGCCCCCCCGGGCAAGCCCT